AAGAGACTCTTAAATACAGAGAACAAACTAAGGGTAGATGGGGGGGTGGGGGAGGTGGGAAATTGGTAATGGGCATTGAGGAGGGCACTTGTTGGGATGAGCACTGGGTGTTGTATGGAAGCAATGAATCATGGGAATCTACCCCCAAAACCAAGAGCACCCTGTACACACTGTATGTTAGCCAATTTGACAATAAATAATATTTATTAAATAAAATTATATTTATATATACGTGTATATGTATATGTATATGTATGTATATGTATATATACACGTATATATAAACACTTTTATGTTTAATTTTGGTAAAAATGAAACAAGTTCTCCTGATTCTGAAAAGACAATCTACTGTAATCTTGATAACTTACAAGTTTGTAAAAGGACAGCAAGAAGTCTTATATGTAAATCAAACTCAGAAAATGTATTTTTATGAATTCTTATCACCTAATATAGAACTAAAACGAAGAAACACCACTGAGCAATTTCAACAAATAACAGCACATTCACAGGTCACAAGTCATATACAAATACTTATCACGATGACAATATCCTCTTGAAATGCTCTCATTCGTCTCCCCTTCCCTGAAACAGGTTGGACCTTATAGTGCATCAGGCCAGGGCTTTAAGCGTATGTTTATTTTTTTCATCATGATAAGGGTACTCTGAAGCAAATTTTTGAGAGACAATGATCAAATCTGAACTGTCATATCACTGTATCTCACAAATGAGAATACCAAGCCCAAGAGAAACTCATAACCATTCGAAATCTGTAACTCTAGATGCTTGACGGGGACAGAGAAGCCCTGCCAAGTTCTTGGCTATCAGCTCCGGTTGATAAGCATCCTTGTAGTTGTAAAACCTCAAAGCCCTAGAGGGCCACCCGGGTGGTTCAGTCGGCTAAGCGTCCAACTCTTGACCTTGGCTCAGGTCACAGTGCCACGGTTTGTGAGCTCGAGCCCCACGTCAGGCATCTGCACTGATGGCACGGAGCCTGCTTGGGATTCTGTCTCTCCTTCTCTCTGCCCCTCCCTTGCTTGTGCTCTCTCTCTCTTTCACAATAAATAAACAAACTTAAAAAAATTCATTTAAAAACTCAAAGCCCGAGAAAGCACCATAGACCCATCTCAAGTTAAAGAAAACATGTGCTACTGAAAAAATGCTTGACTACACCACAAAAAATATGAAATACTATTTAAGCGACCTAAGTGAGAGGAATGAGAACTTTTATAATGGAACCAAAATTATTTTTGTTGGTTGCAGGTTATGGCTTCTAGAATAATTCTTAAAGGACCAACCTGGACAATATAAACTTCTTCCTTGCCAGCATACCAGATTTCAAACTTGCGGTTATCCCCTTTTACATATTCAGTGATGCCAACTTCATCCATCTAGAATATGTTAGTCAAAATTGTCATGAGGGTTTTATTTGGAATATGAAATTACATTAAATCTACACTCGCCATACTCTAAATGAAACAGAATTTCTCACTGGGCAAAATACACATTTTATATTCAAGAATATGAAATGATAAATACAACCACAGACCTGAGTGTTTAAGTGTTTTCACTGAGCCATGCACTTACAGTAGAGATTACATACTCCATTCCAGTGATGGAAACAAATGTTACAAATCTGAACCCCCAACTAGTCCCCATAAGATCGAACCCCATTACAATTAACTGCACACCATGGAAACAAATTATTGTGTCAAACGCGGAACTAAAAGTAATTAAACATCAATAAAAAAGCTCATCCCAAAGTAATTTAAATGGTTGCTTTTAATAATCCTTTGTCAGATAAATTCATCTGACAGATTATTACTTATCTCTATGGAAGCCTTATAAGTGATAACCAATTTATGGGGTGGGGGAAAACCAGCTAGGTACGCAAGGGTCCCCTCTATTCCACCAACCTCTCAGCCTCTCTGGAAGACAAATTATCTGTCATAGCAGAGTGAGATCTTCCTGTAGCCAGTGAAATTGTTTTTTTAATGTTTATTTACTTAGTTTTGAGACAGCGAGAGAGAGAGCACGAGCAGGGTAGGGGCAGAAAGAGACAGACAGAGAATCCCAAGCAGGCTCCATATTGTCAGTGCAGAGACATGGGGCTCGAACTCATGAATCGCGAGATCACGATCTGATCGAAATCAATTAACCAACAGAGCCACCCAGTCGCCCCAACCAGTGAAGTTTTTGTATGCAATATCCCTGCCTTACCACAATTTTTTCTTCCCTGTATGATTGTGCAAAGCACAAACTTTTCAATTTTCTTTCATCCTGTGCTAATAGCTTGGTTAATTCTATTTTGTGCCATTTCACTCCCTCACACACACATTCTCTTTTAGTTCTCTTCTGCCTTCTGTTTTTGTTCAATTCCCGTCTAATTATCTAAAGGAATGTCTCATTCTTTGTTCCATTTATAAGTACCCCAAACAGCGCTGATTAGAGTTGCTAAGCATTAAAAGTACCCCTAGTGAGGTCACCATATCAAGGGAAAGAAAAGGTTTATGAGTGAATTCGAGCCCCATTCTCTCTCCCTCTCTCTCTGCCTCTCCCTTGTTTGTGCATGTGTACTCTCTCTCTCTCTCTCTCTCTCTCTCTCTCTCTCTCTCTCTTTCTCAAAATAAACATACACTGAAAAAAGGGAAAGAAAGGGGATTATGCTTAGAAATGAGATGCATACATACAAGAGTCTCTGATGTCTACCCTGAACGTGGTCCCATGTTACTTCCAGAGTCTCCAAAAATACTTTTTAAGGTTCTTTTTTTAAAGTTTATTTATTTATATTTATTTTGAGAGAAAGAACGAGAATCTCAAGCAGGCTCCATGCCGTCAGTGCTGAGCCTGGTGCGGGTCTTGATCTCACAAACCATGAGATCATGATCTGAGCGGAAATCAAGAGTTGGGATGCTTAACCAACTGAGCCAACCAGGCGCCCCTTCTTTTGAGAGAGAGAGAGAGAGAGAGACAGGGAGCGAGCATGTGCACAAGCAGAGGTGAGGGGCAGAGGGAGAGAAACTTAAGCACTGAGCGTGGAAAAATATCTTCATATTCCTACTCAACCGCCCCAACTAAACGTACTTTGGCTGAAACATCGGGATTTAAGATAAATAATAACCTCATGTTCAATCTCTATTTAAATTGATTGCATTTCAACACATACTTTTAATCGCTTAAGATGGATCACACCTGGGCTTTGGAGTCTGCGAGGCCCGGGTTGGAATTTCATCTCGTATTATTAAGAGCTATGTGTTCTGATGGAAGTTGCTTAACCTTTCTGAATGGCAGTTTCCTCAACTCTAAAACGGAAAGAATACCTTCTTCACAGGGTAGATTAAAGGATTAAATAGCATGCATTAAATGCTTAGATCGTATAATGAGCTTTTCAAAGTATGAGTTTGCTTTGTAAACTTTCCCTTGTTTGAATTGCAGTTTTGTTATTTTTCACTTCATACCTATAGCATACATAGCATTATAGATTAAATGAGTTTTTGATTTGCCCTGGTAATCTAACCATGATGTCGATCAGATAATCTTGTTCTGAGTTCCAAACAAGTCACTTACAAATGATCTACTGGAATGCAAAGGTTTTACTGAAAGGTTGTCAGATGTTACTAAATGTTACGATACCATGAAGTGTTTACTATACCGTGAAATTTACTCCGTTTTAGAATCTAGGGGTAGTTAAAGGTCTAACTATATGCATACAGTTATATAGTACTCTATAGTACATATATAATATATATATACACACACACACACACACACACACACACATATATAATAACAAGCCTGATTCTATAGTTACATCCGAATTGTGGTCTCTGCTGCATCTATTATATTTGCATTCATATTCCTGGTAGCTATGAATATAAATCCTTTATTATAAAGCATTTTATCTGAAGACATCTCAGTGTGTCAAGTATTAAGGGCTCCAACTTGTAACCTAATTTTTTGTCATCAAGGTAATGTAAAGATGTCAAATCTTTACATTGTTAAAAGTCATCCAGTGGGTCAAGAACTCGGCAACGATCACCGACAACTACCAAGCTGAAGACATTTATATGTATGGAATAGAATGTATTTACTTCTTGGGTTAGTAGAATTTAAAATATTGAGGGCCTGGGGCGCCTGGGTGGCGCAGCCGGTTAAGCGTCCGACTTCAGCTCAGGTCACGATCTTGCGGTCCGTGAGTTCGAGCCCTGCGTCGGGCTCTGGGCTGATGGCTCAGAGCCTGGAGCCTGTTTCAGATTCTGTGTCTCCCTCTCTCTCTGCCCCTCCCCCGTTCATGCTCTGTCTCTCTCTGTCTCAAAAATAAATAAACGTTAAAATATTGAGGGCCATCTGGGTGGCTCAGTTAGTTAACCATCCGATTCTTGATATCGGCTCAGGTTGTGATCTCATGGTAGCACGATCGAGCCCCGCGTGGGGCTCTGCACTGAGCCTGGAGCGTGCTCGGGATTCTCTCTCTCCATCTCTTTCTGTCCCTGATTCACTCGCGCTCTCTCAAAATTAAATAAGACAGACATTTGTTTTTAAAAAAATTATTTTATTTTTTAATGTTTATTTACTTTTGAGAGAGAGAGAGTGTGTGTGTGTGTGCGCACAAGTGGAGGAGGGGCAGAGAGAGGAGGACAGATAATCCAAAGCGGGCTCTGTGCTGACAGCAGACAGCCCGACGTGGGGCTCGAACTCACAAACCGTGAGATCACGCCCTGAGCTGAAGTCAGACACTGAACTGACTGAACCACCCAGGCACCTCAATAAAATAAACATTAAAAAAATTGATCTTGAATCACATTAACAAAAAATGTAGCTAGAATGTAAGTGCTATGAGGCAGGTACAAGAAAGATACTGGGTATAAAACGGTAACATGGCTGTATCTTAAAAACAGTTTCTGAGACCAAACAGAAGAAAGAAAAAAGAGAATTATAACGGATTACAATTTATGCAAATTAAACTAGATGCACACAGAACATCGACACACATTTAACAAAAACACGCAAACTGAAGGATATACATCAAATAAATGAGAATGGTTGCTACAGGGGTAGAGAGGAAATTAAGTGTGGAGAATAGGAACGAAGGAAGGAATGAAAGAATGAACAAACAAAAAAACAAGGCCTTCCAGCATGGTGCGGTGATTAACAGCATCGACTCTAGAACCATCTACCTGGGTTTGAACCCGTGCTGCGCGGCTTACTAGCTACGTGCCCTTGACCAAATCAGTCGCCTCTCTGAAACTTGGCTTTCCCACCTTCAAAATGGGGCTCACCATAGTTCCTACTTCATCTAAAGTTGCCATCTGGGTTCAATGAGTTAACAGCGCCATTTATAAACACTTAGATCAGCTTCTAGCAAATAGGAAGCGCTCCATGCAGGGTTATTAAATTAAAAAAAAAAATTAGGTGATGATAATAAATGCAGGAACTGAGGAATCTGAAGAACTCAAACTTCTCCGTCTGGCTGTGACCTGAGGGCCTTTCCTTTGTACAGAAGTGGCCGGCTTAAAATATAGCATGCAATTGTTAGGCCATGGGATTCTAGCTTGATAGGATGAACTCAAGACAACGGTCCGGGAAAGTGACAGGGAAGTGGCATTCTGTGTCCATCCTCTCTACTAAAGAGAAAACTTGGAAACCGGTAACCCCAATCGTTACGTCACAAACCGACTAGTACTGCTAGTGATGATTTATTTTTTTTTTCAACGTTTATTTTTGGGACAGAGAGAGACAGAGCATGAACAGGGGAGAGGCAGAGAGAGAGGGAGACACAGAATCGGAAACAGGCTCCAGGCTCCGAGCCATCAGCCCAGAGCCTGACGCGGGGCTCGAACTCCCGGACCGCGAGATTGTGACCTGGCTGAAGTCGGACGCTTAACCGACTGCGCCACCCAGGTGCCCCCTGCTAGCGATGATTTAATCCCAGAATCTCACAATAGGAAAGCAAGAAGAAATAAACAGAGTGAGGCTTAGGAAACAGCCAAACTTGGGGCGCCCGGGTGGCTCAGTCAGTTAAGAGTCTGGCTTTGCTTCAGGTCACGATCTCACAGTTCGTAGGTTTGAGCCCCACGCCGGGCTCTGTGCTGACAGTGCGGAGCCTGCTTGCGACTCTCTCTCTCTCTCCCTGCCCCTCCCTGATTTGTGCTTTCTCTCTCTCTCTCTCCAAATAAATAGACATTAAAAGAAAGAAAGAAAGAAAGAAAGAAAGAAAGAAAGAAAGAAAGAAAGAAAGAAAGAAAGAAAGAAAAAGGAACTAGCCCAATTTCCATCTTTGTCTGTCAGTGCGATCACCATTTTCCTGGTACTCCTGGCCTAAATCTTTGCAGGCAGCACTGAATAATCTTTTTTATTAAAAATATTAGACATTATCGGGAAACCAAAGAAAAAGGAGACTGATTTTTTTTTTCCCCTTCAAATGTCAGGTATTATTTCTTTCCTGTATCTAGTAAGTCAACAAGCCCGTCGATCTCCTTCCACTGAAATGTTTCTTGCATCTAGCCGACCCTGTTTCCATGGTAACCATTATAGTTTGAATTCTCATGACTTGGTTCCCGCATACCAGTCCCTCCTCACTCTAGTGTACTTCAGAAACATTCTGTTGCCCACCACAGTGACAAATTCAAGTTAAAAAAAAAAAAATCGATACAAATCAGAAATACAACATTAGGTACTGGCTAGGTCACTCTACAAATAAAAAGCTAACCAAACACATTTGGGTCCAACACGCCTATGGAGAGAAAGCCTCATCCCCAGAAATAGGCACAGAGACAGCAAGAGATCTAAACCCCGGCTGAGGTCAACCATAAAATCTTGGTGCTCAATCGATGTTTGTTGGAGACATAAAAGAACAACGGAGATCTGGGGGACGTGGAGGCGGGCTGCTGATGTCAAAAGAGCAACTCGGTGCATTTGCTGTAAAAGCAGCCGGAGTTAAGGAAACTTGTGGCGCTGCTGAGGGTTCAGAGCAAAGCAGGGGAAACTCGACAGTAGGAAGAGGCCCGAATCGGGTCGTAACTCTGGGTAGGAACTTTGTTACCAACAGCCTGGGACTGTCGGCCTTGTGGGGAGAATCAAAAGCAGGGCCTGCTTATCTGGGAGACTCCAGACACAAAACACCTCGGGACACATCGCTTATCCTCTGTCCCTGCTGCTGAAAACGTCGTCAATTTTCAAATGGCTGACAACGAGGAAAGAACATGCTCATAAAAAATGACTCAAGTCAGGGTGGTTGGGGAGGCGAGGCAATAGTTTTCTCCATGTTCCAGTCTTCCCATAACAAATGTTATATTGCCTCTACAATTTTTTTGAGATTTTATTTTTAAGTAATCTCTACACCCAACGTGGGGCTCGAACGTACAACCCCGAGGTCAAGAGTCACATGCTCCACCGTCTGAGCCAGCCAGGTGCCCCTGCTTGTACAATTTAAAACTTGAGGGGCGCCTGGGTGGCTCAGTTACGTGACCAACTAAGACGGTGCTGACAGCTCAGAGCCTGGAGCCTGCTTCAAATTCTGTGTCCCCCCCCCTTCTCTTGCCCCTCCTCCACTCATGCTCGCTTGTTCTCTCTCTCTCTCTCTCTCTCTCTGCCTCAAAAATAAGTAAACATTAGAAACAATTAAAAAAAAAGACCTCTACTTAAGATTTTGAGGGTTGGGGGAGGACAAAACGGGCAAAGGGAGTTCAAGGGTACAAATTGCTAGTCAGAAAATAAGTAAGTCCTGGAGATGTCATGTACAGCCTGGTGACTGTGGTTAATAACACTCTACTGCACATGTGAAAGTTGCTAAGACAGAAGATGTTAAAAGTTCTTACCGTAAGAAAAACTTACAACGGTGTGGTAATGGATGTTACCTAGGCTTAACGCGATCATTTTGCAACATACACAAATATCACATCATTGTGTTTTACACCCGAAGCTGATATAATGTTATACGTCAATAACGCCTCAATAGAAAGATTTCATTTAAAAAAAAAAGGATGTGAGGGACACCTGGGGTAGCTCACTTGGTCGAGCGTCTGACTCTTGATTTTGGCTCGGGTCATGATCCCAGGGTTGCGGGATCGAGCCCCATGTTGGGCTCCACGCTGAGCATGGGAGCCTGCTTGAGATTCTCTCTCCCTCTCCCTGTCTCTGTCTCTCTGTTCCCCTCCCCTGCTCGCATTCACGCTCAAATAAAAAACAATAAATCAATCAATAAATAAATAAGTAGATAAATAAAGGGATATGCATGTATAAAACCCATTCATTTCACTTGAAAAGGTGCACAAGCTTTTTTACATATGAAATAATATTACGTTACACAATTTAAATTGTCTTACTTTCAAACAGTGCTTAAAGCTGTACGATGGGTATCTATCAGACCCTTCTCCGCTTTCAACGCGCCTCTTACAAAAGACAATGGCTTTTTCATACAAGAACAGATGCCGCTGCATTGGTTTGAATCTAGCAAAATCCTTCATTTTTGTAGCACCTTTCTTGTGTCCAGTCCAAACACTGAATGCTCCCTGCATTACCATCTTGCCCAGTTCATTTAAGTTTCCCTATGAAGGAAAATCAACACTCATCAGTACAAGGTGGAGCTACATTCGGGCCTCTGACATCAACGTCGTACTGTGTAGGTTGAGCTACTAAATTCCTGCAACACAATTTGTACGGTCTTTAAAATTTCATTCATCACAACTTTACATGAAAACATGCCATGTGTCACACGGGTACATAATTAGGGCGGGGACAAGAGACAGAAGACCGCTCCTTTTCCCTGGCTTCCCGTCTCCATGTGGATGTATTTAGGGTAGGCCCACCCCCCACCCCACCCCCCGCCCATCTTCTCCTCAATCCTGATTGGCGATTGACATCTACCGGTCCAGGGATCCCCACTAGGCAGAGCTAAGTCTAAAGACTTGATTTTTTTTCTTCCGTATCTATCTGGGACTATGCGAGCAGCAGTTCCGGGACAATACACCTCCTTAGAAGACCGAAACATTCCTTCAAACAAGATCTCCCATTCTTCGGCTCTTTTTTATTTCTCAGTTGGTTCCGGGTGGCGACGAAGAAAGAGATCTTAACTTGCTTACCCACAAAACTGCGACAATCATTACAATTTACTTACAATATAGCCATTTATTGCGATCTGATGCATGGAGTCATTAAGTGACTTCAGTAAATCCAGCATTGTGTCCAGAGCCTCCTTTAATTGTTCAATCCCTTGGCAGCCGTTGCTATATTTCAGCAGCTCCTGTGATTAGAAGTCAAAAATTAATATTGAGCAGGTATTAATAGCGGCAGAAAATGAATACATTTCTGGCTAACATGCTTTCAAGGAGGAGTCCACAGATAATGTCATTTTGTGAGTAATACCTTTCATTTGCTATCCGTCCCATTAGTACTATATTTTAAAAACTGTGTCAAAATTTGGGAAAAAATGGAATAGTCACTAAACGGCATCGAGTCAAGGGCACTCGCCGCTCTTGAAGCTGCAGAAAAACAGCTATTAGGACCCACTAGAGATTTATGTTTAAAGTAATCACACTTTTCTGGCCTTCGACATACAACAATTTGTGTTATTCATTTTGCCTCGACCACAGAACACCGTGAAAACATACTGTTAAATAAGCTCGGTGCTTACACTTAACACAACATTTTTGTAACCTGAATTTCAACGTGACACGAGGGGTGAGCCTCCTCCAATTTTCATCAAGAAGACTCCTACGAAATACTGTCTCAAACTCTAAGAAATGTGTGTTTAGTTCTTCCCAACCATAGTAAAAAGATTGGGGCGCCTGGGTGGCTCAGTCAGTTAAGCGTCCGACTTTGGCTCAGGTCATGATCTCGCGGTGAGTTCGAGCCCCGCGTCGGGCTCTGTGCCGACAGCTCAGAGCCTGGAGCCTGCTTTGGATTCTGTCTCCCTCTCTCTCTCTCTGCCTCTCCCCTGCTCGCTTGCTCTTGCGGTCGCTCGCGCTCCCTCTCTCTCGAAAATAAACATTAGGGGCACCTGGATGGCTCAGTCAGTTAAGTATCCAACCCTTGATCTCGGCTTGGGTCATGATCTCAGAGTTCATGGGTTTAAGCCCCGCATGGGGCTCTGAGCTGACAGCTCAGAGCCTGGAGCCTGCTTCACATTTTTTGTCTCCCTCTCTCTCTGCCCCTCCCCCGCTCGTGCTCTGTCTGTCTCTTTCTCTCTCTCTCTCAAATAAATAAACATTAAAAAAAACTGTTTTTAAATAGTAAAAGTTCGGCATTACATATACATCAATGTAACTGGTATGGATAATTAACTCGCTATAAAGACTCCAGACAGCCTCAGATTACATCTATGCACCGGGCACTTTAAGGGCCACAGTGAACCCAGGCCCCGAGCCTACCTATTCATGGTGCTTCCTAGTCACCTGCTTCCTTTTTAATGGCTTTGATACATTTGACCCACGGAAGGAAGGAAGGAAGGAAGGAAGGAAGGAAGGAAGGAAGGAAAAGAAAGAAAGAAAGAAAGAAAGAAAGAAAGAAAGAAAGAAAGGCTTTATGTAATTACCTTTAACAGTAACTGATACTTAGTGATTCGTTGCACGGGTTTGAGTAAATAGGAATCCAGACCAAGCCTGTGTTTTAATTTTCTTTGACATTCCTGTCATTAAAATATAATTATCAATGAATTTAAAACATGCACCCATGAAAATACCAAGCATTCACTGATTAGACCCAATGCATGCAGGTTTCTTACATCTCAAGGGAAATTTACCAGGAAAACCACTGTTACATATGGTGTGGAAATTATAAGCAGCGGTATACGTAAAAAAACCACTGTAAATGTTGCCTTAAGGATTTGAGAGGTATAAAATGCCAAGATTTCAAATACTAATAAGTTTTTACATAAAATTTGCATTGATGTGGAATGTTTAAAAGATGAGAAAGCAATGAATGACCATAGATGAACATGATTAAACATGAAACATGACTAAAAAACGTACGTAAGAAAATTTTTAAAGGGCTCAGCTGCACAGGTCAAGGCCAAGAAAAGAAACAGGTTGTACTGAATATAAATCAAACTGGGTATGAGGAGAGGTTTTTTGAACACCACAAGAAAAATGGAGACCTCATCAACTGGTGCTATATTTCATCTGATTATTGGCTCACTGCCACTATAAATATGAGGGTCATGCCTTTGGGTCCTGGGAACATTGTAGGGTCCCTAACTAGGGCGAGATGGGGCTGATTTGGATGAAATGTACATGCAAGCAGTACAGAACACAGAGAGAGTAGGAGAGGCTATATATGTGTAAGATCTGGGACCTGCCTCTGAATATAGATAAAAACCAATATACAATCTAATGCACACAGTTAGCAGCTTATGGTTAAAGATGATGGACCGATACATCCATTTAGCTCCTCTTACTCATGAAACCCAACTGAAATGATTAAAAAAGTAATTTTTACAAGGCAAAACCCAAAGTAACAAAGATGGGAGAGGAAAAACACATCAACCAAATATGGAAACTGAACGCCAAAGTGATAACGTTAGACAACTGTGCACGCTAGAGAAACGTGACTCTCAAGTTGGCAGAGTTTTCGGAAAAGCCAAGGAACAAGTCAGTTTATGTTATAGAACACCTTCCCCCCGCTTCCACAAAGACTCCAGAATTACAGACATCAAGGACCTCTGAAAGGGGGGAAATGAAGGTCAGGTTTCAAAAAATGTGGTTGTTGAAAGTCTGCTTAAGAAGTAAGTAGAGGAGGGGCGCCTGGGTGGCGCAGTCGGTTAAGCGTCCGACACCTGATTTCTGCTCGGGTCATGATCTCACAGTTCGTGGGTTTGAGCCCTGCATCAGGCTGTGCACTGACAGTGCGGCTCCTGCTGGGGATTCTCTCTTTACCCGTCCCTTGCTTGCTCGTACTCTCTCAAAAATCAATAAACTTAAAACAAAAAAAAAAAGTACATCGAGATACTGGGGTGCCTTAGTGACTCAGTCAGCTAAGCGTCCAAGCCTTGATTTGGGGCTCAGGTCGTGACCCCAGATTCATGGGATCAAGCCCGGCATTGGACTCTAGGCCAAGCATGGAGTCTCCTTAAGATTCTCTCTCACCTTCTACCCCTCCCACTGCTCGCACATGCTCTAAAAAAAAAAAAAAAAACAAATAAATAAATAAATAAATAAATAAATAAATCTATACCTTTAAAAAAAAAAAGTAGACACTAACACACATTGGTGCGAGTGTGCAGTGATCAGGACATCACACACTGCTGGCCGCGATGCAAAATGGTGCAGCAACTTGGGAAAACAATCCAACAGTTCTTCAAAAAGCTAGAGAGAGTTACCAAATGACCCAGCAATTTCATACCCAGGTACATGGCCAAGAGAAATGAAAACATATGTCCACAGAAAAACTTGTACATAAGAGGTGGAAAAGAACCAAATTACCATCAACTGATGAATGGGTACACTGAATGTGGAATACCCATACAGTGGAAAGAAGAATTCATATCTGCCACATGGATGAACCCTGAAAACATCATGCCAAGTGAAATCAGCAAAACACAAAAGATCACATATTTTATGATTCCATTTATATGAAATGTTTAGAACAGGCAAATCTAGAAAGACAGAAAGTAGCTTACCAATCACAGAAGGCTGTTGGATGGGGGGGTGGGGGGGCGGGGAATGGGAGGTAATTACTAAAAAGGTATGGGGTTTTTTTTTTTGTTTTTGGAGTCATGAAATTGTTCTTAAACTGACTGTAGCGATGGTTGCCCAACATTGTGGACACAGCAAAACTACTTAATTACACATTTGAAAAGGCTGAATTTTATGGAATTTTAATTACATCTCAATGAGTGGTTACCCCCAAAATTAAATGAGCAGAAAAGTTAAAAAAAAAAAAAAAAGGAGAGAAGGCTCAGAGAACCATGCCACCTTGCACAACTAGGTGGATGCCTGTCCCATCGTATAGCAGGAGAATAGATGTTTACCTGAAAAAAGTAAAATGGAAGGCCTATGAACTAGGGCATATCTGATCCAGTTGAAGACAGAGTACCATATTGAAAGCAAAGAGATTACTTGACTATTTATTTATGTACCAAATTAAATACTCTCAGCGTTTTCACCTAAGGTGGCTACCAGAATACTGGCAACCAGATCCTTATTCACCAGGTAGTAGACTTAGGAATCTAACCAGCTTGAGAAAGATACAGGTGTGGGGATCCCCTCAAGGAAACACCTTGACACAAATCACTCAATAGTGAGGACCATGGTCAATAAATCCACATATGTGCAGGAAAATTCCAGCGAGCTTTGCATTCTAGTGCTTACTCTCAAGGTAAGTGGCCAATCAAGTGTCACCAGACATTTGTGGGAAGTATCAAATATGAGTGACAGGAACAAAATGAAGAAAAATAAAAAACAAAAGCAATCTGAAGACAGCAGAAATTATGCAAGGAGAAGAAAACTAGTTTTAAAAGGAAAATCTATTCTTATTACCCTCATAAAGATAAGTGACGATACTGAATTCATGAAATGAAAACAGGGTTCTATTGAAAGGAACATTGAGGGAACAAAAAAGGGTAGAGGCTCTACAAAATTAAAAATATAATGGCAGACACAAAACTCTCAATAAAAGGACTGAAAGACAAATTCCAAAAAATAGAGCAAGACAGCCAGAAAATAAAAAGAAAAGATCAGAGAATTAGAGGAATGGTCGAGAATGTCCAACATCTGTACAACAAAAATTCCAGAAAGACAGAATGGAAAAATTGTGCAGAGAAAATCAAAGAAAAAACTCCAAGTAAATTTGGACAAGAGGCTCCAAATTCAAAGGGATCGCCACAAGACTAACATAATGGATGAAAATAGCGCCAATGTCATGGCACTATTTGTGAAATTTCAGAACTCCAAAGATACAAATGTTCCCATAAGCTTTCAGAGAGAAGACAAAAATAGGTTACACACAAAGGATGGAAAATCAAAATGGTGGGGCACCTGATAGCTCAGTCGGTTAAGCATCTGACTCTTGATTTCAGTTCAGGTCATGATATCATAGTCATGAGAGCGAGCTCTGCATGGGGCATGGAGCCCACTTAAGATTCTCTCTCTCCCTCTCCCTCTGCTGCTAGCCCACTTGTGCTCACTTGTGTGTGTGCATGCTCTCTCTCTCTCTCTCTCAAGAAAATAAATAAATAAAAATAGCATCAGATTTCTTAACAGCAACACTGGAAGCCAGAAAACAGTGTAGCAAATACCTTTAAAATTCTGAGGAAAATTATTTCTTACTTACTGGGTATAGACTTCTATACCCAGCCAAGCTAGCAATTAAGTGTTAGGGTAGATACACTCAAGACATTCGTAGACATGCAAGTTCTCAAAACTTTTACCTCCCAGTAGACATACAAGCTCTCAAAACTTTTACCTCCCAGGCACACTTTCTCAGTAAAACTGCTGGAGGATATGTTCTACAAAACAAGTGAGTGAAACAAGGAAAAAATATGGCACCTAGGAAACAGGAGAGCCTACGCAAGAGACCACGAACAGAATCCCAAAAGTTATATTCAACAAGATCCCAGGTTGACAGCTGTGCAACAGGTCTAGTGAGCCTTGATGAGCAGATCAAAAAAGTCCAGGAGAGATTAATTCAAAATGAAATTCAGAGAAAAAAGAGTATGTTTAAATGTACTACGAAGAAATTTATGTAACTCTCTTAACTCGGAGAGTCTATGGGTAGGTAGAATAGGGAAAAGTATCTAAAAAATTAAGGAAGTAAAAAAGACAATTGCAGGGGGGAAAAAAGGGATGGAAAAGCAACCATCTTATACTGGAGGATTCGTCTGAACATAGGAATTACCTAGTCTTACTAATTTACCACTGTATCTGTATAACTAAACTTATAACCATATTGGATGTTTTGGAGGAAAAGAAGTAGGTGTATGTATCTGATGGTGAGGCAGGGGCAGCGAAAGAGGGCTAAAGTAGCGATATAAATGTTATTCACCAACATGGAAGTAAATATCAAAGGAAGCAGCTGAAAGAACTGAAAGTGGTTGCCTCTGGGAAGCAGCATACGGATTTGTGCGCATGTGCGCACGCGTGTGCACGTACACATTGTGTGGCGGGGTCAAACTGTTCTTTGATCTATCTGTATTATATACGACTCTCAGTAGGAATGGATTCATAAATAAGAACTATCCCAGTGTCTTCCGGAAAGAGTATATCCAATACCTGAATAATTACTATACCTGGAAAAAGGCGCATTCTGAATACTTCTTCCAAATTGCCTCTGATCTGGGTTTATTCTGACAGTATTTTGCATACATCTGAAAATCATCTTTCTGTGATAAAAAGCACATTCAAACGTATTATCAATCTGTGAACATGTACTGTTCTTATCAAGAAAGGCTGAGCTAGAATGAGTAGAGCCAAGCATTACATGTGGCCTAAAGGGCCTGCCACACTGGCAGTAAGTCAGGATCCCTCTCTGGAATCCAAGAAACACAGGCCCACCAGACTGAGCAGAGGAACACATAAGTATCTCAGTAATCTCACCACCTCCACTTACCAAGTTGGAGAGCTAGGGAAAAGCCTTCTCCGACTGAACTATACAAATAGATGAATTTGTTCACAGCTGTAAGCCAAGAAGGTACCAAGGAACACGCCGTCTCCATGCCACCAGCCTCTCAGTTCCCTAGTGAATGAACTTGTGGCTAACTTCCAAGTCCCTTGGCTTGTCACTGGGATATCATCATTGTACCGTGACCCCGCTGGGTGTGTGACCATGCTATTCTCTGCCCCTGGAATCATCTTTCCTGGACCCTCATCTAATGGGCTACCTCCTAGTCACTCTCTAACTCCCACCTCATGAGTCATCTCTTCTGGAAAGCCATGCTTTATACCTCCAATCTATGTCAGATGCCCCTCTTCTTGGCTCTTACGGGATCTTTCGTATATCCCCGATATAGCACAACTCACACTGTATACAATGATTTTCCCCCTGTTCTTCTCTGTGAATATAGTCTTGGTCAAATATAAAATCTCCAACGAGCAGCACAGACATTAAAGTACTATAGGAGCCCGAAGGAAAAAGACTGGTGTTGCTTAGGGAAGTCAGGGAAGAATCTGGCTACCATTTAAATATGTTTAAAGTCCGAATATATTGAGAAAGGTAAGGACAAACAGTTTTTTCTTAACTATATCATATTCTGAGTCCATTAACGCTTTCTGGGATAAGACATCTCTTTGGAAGCTTTCAATGATCACCATTATCAAATTGACTCTCAAATCAAGATGGAACTGATTTTTCAGGAAGAGGAGGAAGTAGATACGTAGATAAGCAGAGAATATTCTAAGGAAAATTCTAATGGAGGAGAGTATGATTACAAAGCTTGGGAAGTCCATTGTGCTAAGTATTCTCTTGGGATGTGGAGAAATGAGCCTCCCTGAATGATCTCATAGAATAAAAAGAACAGACAGCCCTCTGTTTCGCAAAGTCGCCGTGATAGATGCCCTGGTGTCTGAAAGCCAGACTACGCTTGATTCTAAGACTTTACATGCATTAGAGGGGAATACCAAGGCATCTCTTAGGCTAAAAATTAACCAATCCAAGAATGATTGAGCTAAGATGATTCCTACTCTCACATCTTCATAGCCAGGCTGGTCCCTGGACTCCTGGGATCACCCAGAGGTCAGTGGGCACAAGCTGAGCCATTGAAGCGTCTGATTCCGTCAGTCTCTGTAACAAAACTGGGTTTACCATTAAATACCTGCTGGAGTGATGGCTCTCCTCCCAAAACATAAAGACATAAAAAACAATACCTACTTTGTCTCTAAATCCGGTCCTATACAACGAGCTGCTATTTTAGTGGCCCATATTTATATATTTTTAAATAATAATTAACAAACCCTTTCGAGGAAACAAGGTCCCACTCTCTCTGGAGCGTCAACGCAATTTTCCAGACTGCTCAAGAAAATGCTGTGAAGATGTCAGAGGAAAAAAAAAAAAAAAACACGATATAATTTTACATCAAATACAGTAAATTAGTCAACAGCCCTTTAAACAATACGATGCAAAAGAAACATTCAATTCGGCAATTACATACTCGTTATGGAATTCATAGATTTCTGCCATATTTCCAAAGAGGACATCCTTTTTATTTCTCAGGAGAGGTGGCATAAGATCAAACATCTCAGGATTGTCCATCTCCGCTCTGTAGCCCTACCCAAAATAAATACATTTGTTCATTTAAACCACATTCACGTTAACACTCGGTTGGGCCACCAAAGGGTATAGCTACAACAGAAATGTGTACAGCGAGACTCCTGGGTGAAAGCTGTTTGTAATTCCAACAATCAAATCTTCCAGTACCCGAAGTTACCCATTTACAAAAAATTGTCGTTTTCAGAAAGCCAGACAAGGAAACCATCGTTGCCCGCTCAGCGCATAGAACAAAGTGACTCTCTTGGCCTTCGGGGTAGCTGATGGTATAGGAAACAAACTAGAAATCAAGCAGGAAAAACTGTATTACAGGTCATTAACCTCTCCTTAAGCTGCCAGTAAGTGTGTGGGTTTTTAGAGCAAATTAATATTATGACAGGTGTATCAAATGAATGGTTTTCTTTTACCTTTAACTCTTTCCAGCACCGTTTCTACACAGCACAATTCTCACTACTGAGGGAGAACCCGAATACGCACATTTAACGCATGGGCAGCCTCAAACAATGGGAGAAACACCTACTGCTGGCACGTGACAAGAAAGGAAAGAGACAGAGAAGACTGTCCTCAGTACTTCCTAATGAATGTAGCAGGGAGAGCACTGGGGCGAAGGTGGGAAAATAGAATTTGAGTCACTTACCAACAAAACAGTAAACAGCTCGCGAACATAGACCCTCTCTGTCTGTATCAGCTCATTTAGGACGTGGCTAAAGCGAAAAGACAATATTTATCAGTTATTTTGTTGCCTTGGAATTATGATCTTTCAATCGTTATCATCATAAATTGTCCAAGGTAAAAATTGTTAACACCTAGGAACTACCAATGGTTTTGGCTTTATCATCAAAATATGGAGTGAATCGTATAGTCTCTAGAATAAATATCACCCACAAGACGCTTTAAAATATATTGAAAACAGAAAATAAAATATATTGAAAACAGGGGCGGGCACCTGGGTGGCTCAGTTGGTTAAGCTTCCAACTTCAGCTCAAGTAATAATCTCATAGTTCGGGAGTTCGAGCACCGCATCGGGCTCGGTGCTGACCGATCAGACCCTGGAGCCTGCTTCGGATAGTCTCCCTCTCTCTCTGTCCGTCCGTCCATCCCTCCCTCTCTCTCTCTCTCTCTCCCCCGCCCAAATAAATAAACATTAAAAAAATTAAAAAATAAAAATAAAATATATTTAAAACAAAGGAAAGGGGACTCAGGACTTATTTTTCAAAATGAAAAAAAAAGCCCACTTTATTTCTATCTCACTAAGCTTAAGAATCAATTTATTAAAAACTCAAAAATCTATTCCTAAAACTTTGGTTTATTTTGTTGTGGGGGGTAGGGAAAAACACAGTTTCTCTTTCTCCCTCTCCAAAAACATAATGACATTAACATTTAATGCCCGATTTTCCCCTTTCCCAGTAATGTTCTGAAATTTTCCAAGACCTGAAATGGATTTATTTTACTGGTTTTCCTAAATATAGATCATATTTAAACCTTAGTAATTTTGATCTCTTTAAAATAAAATACATTCTTCTTCCAATGTGATTTCTAATTGACACTTTTTTTTTTTTAAGAGAGGGAGAGAGAGAGAGAGAGAGAGAGAGAGAGAGACAGACAGAGAATCCTAAGCAGGCTCTACGCTCAGCAAGGAGTCCAACACAGGGCTTGACCTCAAAACCCTGGGATCATGACCTGAGCCGAAATTAAGAGCCGGACGCTCAACTGACTGAGCCACCCAGGCAACTCAATACCATATTTAAAATCCATTTCCTGGGGCCCCTGGGTGGCTCAGTTGGTTGAGCGTCCAACTTCAGCTCAGGTCATGACCTCCTGGTCCGTGAGTTCAAGCCCCGCATCGGGCTCTGTACAGACAGCTCAGAGCCCGGAGCCTGCTTCAGAATCTGTGTCTCTGTCTCTCACTGCTCCTCCTCTGCTCATGCTTTGTCTCTCTCTCTCACTTTCTCTCTCAAAAATAAATAAACATTAACAAAATAAAAAATAAATAATAAATAAAATTCATTTCCTCACTCTCCAATACAGGTAACACATTTAACTTCTACCTTTGACTTTCTTTTATTTTTACATTTATAAGCATTATTTATCTGAATATGTATCACCACACAACTCTAGGATATAAAATTTTAAAGGTGAATCTTCTTCTTTTGTTTTAATTTTTTTAATGTTTATTTATTTTTGAGAGAGAGAGAGACAGAGCACAAGGTGGGGAGGGGCACAGAGAGGGCGAGACACGGAATCAGAAGCAGGCTCCAGGCTCTAAGCTGTCCGCACAGAGCCCGATGCAGGGCTCGAACTCACAAACCGCGAGATCGTGATCTGAGCCAAAGTCGGATGCTCCAACCAACTGAGCCGCCCAGGCACCCCCCCAAAAGGTGAATATTCTTATGGCTAAAATAGTAACGTTATAAAAGTGAGCACGCTATTTTTAACATCTCTAAAATAACACTGTATATCTAAATAATCCTTGTAGTTTTTGAAACAGCGACTGTCCCATTCCCTGTCATCTCTTTTACAATAGAGGAGATGAAGAATCTAGAAAACTCTGGCTAATTTTCAAGTCACACAAACAGAGCACATTCGCCTTGACCACTGAATCAGAGATTCCTATTGGTAGATGCGTATAGAAGTGTATGTCAATAAAGAAACGATACTTCTGTAAAATATCCAAGCTATTGTCGTTGTCCAGACTGGAGGATTGACCAGAATTTCTCTGCTCCCGACAATCATGCACCACTTCGATCTGAAATGATGAAAATAAGACTTAAATTAGCATCTATGTACGTATAGTTCCTCTTGAAGGAAATCTAGTTCAAACTAAGTTTTCTCTAGGTCCTAACTGTGTACATAACTTGAAAAATAACACTAGGATTTTTTTTTCAGATTTAAGATGCTAATTAGAATTCATTTTACACATTAAATAATGTTCTATTTGGCACTTTGGGGAAGTGAGGTTAATTTATAAAACGTTGAATTTCCAGATAACGCAAGTTTATTTACTGAAGAAAAAACCCAGCTTTTTAACCTTAATGATTTTTAATGGAAGCCTTTCTAGGAAATATTACATGAATCCTGGAGTCCTTTAATCAAGGATACACAACATCATTGACTCTCTTTCCAATGATCCAGTGGTATCATCAGGAACATGAATGATGTGATAAAATCCAAGGATAACACTCTGGGGCTAATAACACGTGGGTAACTATTCTTTCTTAAAATGGCCGTAACTTGTTTATTTCTGCCTCTGCTCTCTGCCACATGTCAGCTTTTGCTACAGGTGATTTCTCTGATCCTAAACCACGATCTTATTTCGAAGATTCTACAGTCCTTGAAGAATATCCGATGGAAAAAAAGACAGTCTCTTTAACAAATGGTGCTGGGAGAACTGGACAGCAACATGCAGAAGAATGAAACGAGACCACTTTCTTACACCA